AATTTGTGGTTTTTTCCCGTTGCCTGTAGAACATCTCTTCAGAGCCAGGCTAAAAGGCCACCTTAAAACCAGCAGGCAGCAGGTGTTGTGGCCGAGCAATTAGTGAGAGTTTGGACCAGAATCACTTCCATTATAGCAGCCTAAAGAATGGAAGACAGAAGCTTAGATGTTATTATGTTTTGAAAATGTTTGAAAATTCAATGCAGTTATAAATTAAATTTTAATAAAAAAACTTATTATAATAAACTTACTATAAAATAATTCTATTCAATTAAAACTTTAGTAATACTTAACAAAAAAAACCCCTTTGAACTCTTAATTTTCCACTTATTTAGTTTTGTTTACTTGTTAAATTCACCAATACAAAGTTTCATATCCATTAGGTCCGAACAAAAGCATTTGAATTCTGCAGCCACAACTCTTGACTTGGCCAAGAGGTAGGAAGCATTTGGCTGCACGTGGCTAATCAATTTGCAGAACATACCCCAACGAAAAAAAATAAATAGCTTAGTTCATTCTCTAACCAGAGTTGTTGGTATTTTTTCCAACTGATAAACCATGGCTAATACGCAGCTACCAAACCTATTTTCTTTCTTATTTTTTAGCTTGAATTTTAAATGTTAATTACAAATATTAGTTTCCAAAATAATATAATATTTATTATTCTAAGAAACTGACATTAATAAAGTTTAATAATATTTCTCAAGATAAACAAATATTTGGTCTTAAAATATATATTTATTAAAGTAATCGCCACTGCGTATAGCCCCTTCCGTATAGCTTGACCAGTGCAAAAAAGGAAAACACATGAGGAGACCTACAACCACCCTCTGTCGGTCTGTTGACAATGTCCTTGTCGTCCTGACTGACCTGAGCAAAACCGAGCTGAACTGACGCTGCCATCGACGACAGGTGTGCATGATTTATGAGATTTACATATCAGTCGGTCCGCCGATGAAGCGCGTTGATGCGCCGCCAACGACAGGCGGACAGGGGCGACAAGATATGGAGAGGGATCGGATATGGACAGATATAGAAGGGGCAGCATGTTGCCCTCATCCGCTATAAATAGGCTAAAATGAAATGCAAATTTGTGCACTGATTGATGATATTGCGCTTGTTAAGGTCAACTCACACACTTTACCTAAGTCCCCCAACACTTTCGAACTTCTTTTTTTAGAGCCCCGCCTCATAGGCAAATGAATTTCAAAGAGGTAGTGAAAAAAAGAGATAAAAGTGCTGCATACTTTGGGGCTGCTGGGAAAAGATACTTTCTAGTAGCTACACTTCAGGCGGAAGTTTTACGTGCATTTTTGTAAAAGGTAAACTTAAAAAATTTATTTGAATTAAATTATATAATATATTCATTAAACCTCTATTTCCACATCATTATTTATAATTTAAGTTCGCAAAATGTTTCTTATTTCAATTATTCCTGTCTAGAATAATATGTTTGTATTTATCTATTCGCGTTTAATCGCTTATGCATTGATACAATTTTAATCAGATTATTAAAAAGAGTTTTTGGAGAACAAGCGGGCCTCATCTAACTAACAATCATTCCCAAACTCCTGTGTACTCGGTATATATCCCTTGATTACGCCTCTTTCCCACGGCTGCAAACGTGCTCATTAACCAGACGTGGCGGGCCTGGCAGACGACAGCAGATCGCCTCCCCTCCACCGAATAATACCATCCGCCCCCATATCACCGAAAACCCCCCCTCCTAAATCTGCAGAAAATCAGCGGCAGGCAACATGTGTTCCTGATATTTTTATGGCATTGGATACATGCAGTCTGGGTCTCAGTTTTCTCGGTGGCAAAAGCAGCCTAAGCTGGCTAATTGTTATGCGCACAATTCGCAAGCAAGAGCCTCAACAGCACTGTGATTTGCAGGCCTACATACCCCATGCACATACGAATACGACTACGACTACGACCATATAGGACCAAAGACCATGGCAGAGTCATAAAATTTTCATCTAGGAGTAGTTTTAACGACGCAAATTGGACTTAAGGGCTTGCCAAGCACATTAATCTCGGTGAGGAATGAAGAAAGTGTCTTAGTGAAATTTGCTTGCGCAAGCATTAACGAAATGTTAGGATCCTTGTATGACTAAGCACTATATAAGGAAATGTGTTTTTAATTAAAAACTATTCAAGGCTAATTGGTGATTTGGGTAAAATGTATTCCATTGTTTAGATCCTAAGTAATATACGATATAGATTTCAGTTTTAGGTAACGAAAATAATTAGTATTAGGTAGCAATACTTTGTTACTAATAAATCGAATAATAGTTGCCTTTTTTTGTCTATCTATTTTATCTATACTCATAAATCTTATTTGAAAAACTTAACAAAGCTGCATATATTTCTTCTTTAAAACCTTAAATCTCCAACATTCTGAAACTCACTAATAAATCGCTTTTTAATTTTATGGCTGTTTCATTAATAGGCCAATAACCGATGTTGCCTCAACTTAACACCCTACTCCTCCATTAAACCCACAAAGCCCCACGTTTTCGATTTTACTGCGAGGCCAAAGGTTTCACTCCTTTCGGCTGATCAATAAAATGGCAGCTAAATCAATTAGCCGATGGCAGGGGGCAACTTCTTGGCACTTTCATGAACTTCTGGCCGGTAATTAAAATCCACCCACAATACCAATCTGTGCTGGAACAGATTTCACTAATTACTTTTATGACCCAAATTTGCTGAATGCGCAGTTTGCTATAAATCCTTACCTTTGACAGTAATAAACTGGGGAACATCAGTTGCAGACTAAATATTGCCATCAATGGCTGGTCTTCTTCGTTCTTGTTCTGTTCAAAGTACCCACTATTTTCTGCTGTTCCTGTGAAATTAGAAGAATAATAGATTTAGTGATCTGTTAATAATATAATTTTTTAGTTATGATAATTTACATATGGTTGTTAATAAATCTATTATTATATAATTAGGGTTAAATGTTATAATGTTTAAAGTTTTTGAAAATACATCTTGAGTTTTAAGGTATTTCTAAAACCTCAGATCTTAAAAAGATATTTCACTGTTTTTTGTGGGATAATGATAAGTATCTCTGATTCGTGTAACTAAAAGATGGTTTTTCTCAGAACTTTTTCTTTTTATTCGTTTCACTCACTTCTCTCGCCATTTCCGAACTAATCGAAGACGCTTGCTTTCAGAATTTATTGCTCCTTCTGCGGGGGCGTGGCAGGGGGCGGCTAAGATATTGGCGGAGGGGGGCGTGGCAGGGGTACAAACTGCTCCTTTGACCTGTCTGCCTCAGTCACTGTTTTGCTGTTGCTATTGTTATATATTTCTCCTTCTTTATCGCCTGGAGCTCTGCAAACAAGTTTCTTATGTCCCGACGAAAAAGAACCAAACAAAATATTACAGAAAAAAACTCTTTTCACCGTCAGCTGCTCGACTGCAGAAAACTCGTTGCGCTTGTTGCGCGTTTTGTTGTAAATTATAAAGAAATACAAAAAAAAAATGGAAAATTACATGACATATTGCTTAGGAGTGAGTCGGCCTTTGATGTTTTTAGGCCGCCTAATAAGCCGTTCAAGTTATTGTTTTACTTTTTTCCACTGATTTGGGAGCGCCAAACCCATAAGACCCGGTCTGGGATTTGCAAAAAAATTAATTTGTGTAAATTTTGGATTTTGCGGGGGTGTGCTGCCAATTGCTAATTGAGGTGGGTGCAACAGGCGACAGAAATGCTATATAAATATGGTTTTTTATGCTGTGGAACTGTATTAAGTGGCTTGATTTTTTATTATGCAGTTTGTAGCATTACTACTATTTTGTTTCAATTTTTAAATTTTTTCTTCAAATTTTAAACAGAAAATTAAGATAAAGTTAAAAAAGCTTGAGTAAAGGATTAAATGGATTAAAAAAGGCGTACAGCAAGTTTTTTTTCCCAAAAAGTAACTGATGTTTAAAATGTCAAATTCAGTATGTAAGTGCTTTTATAATATTTTTTATATTATACACTTTTCTTTATATATATTTTTTTATTTTAAAACAACAATTTATTTTTTTGCATTTTTTTTTTAACTATTTATATTTTTGGTATACTATTTTTTACATGGTAAATAATACCAAAAAAATACCAAGAGATGCTCATTTTTATCCCCACCACAAAAAGCAACAACAAAAACAGCAGCAACTATGGTAGCAGCAACAACACGAAGCCGCAGCATTCGAGACCGGAAGTAAGAGAAGCTTGAGTGCGAAGGGGACAACCGTACGAACGCCAAAAGTTGTTGCTGTCTCCCCAAATGGCGTTTTTTGAGCGACTTCGCCGCAAAACAACAACGCTCCCCGGCTCTCTCTCACTTTGGGAGAGCAAGCAAGCATTTGGGTCTGTTTTTGTTGGTTGAGTGGAGTGGGTGGGGCGGGTGGTGGGGCAAGGAAAGCGTTTATGTTGTGGGTGGTTGTTGGCATCGTGAGAGAAAGAGAGGAAAAGCAGTAAGGCTCTCTTTAAATGTACCCTGTTTTACTAGATTTTTGGGGTATATTGGAGTTTTTATAGTTTATTTGTTGATGTACTACAACTGATGATTACATTTTAAACTTGTTAAACAACAAAAGAAAAATATAAAAAAATATTTCAAACATTTTTAAAAACATAAATAAGATTATGAAATTATATCGTATAATCAAAGTCATCTTTATTTACTTAAACTAACTTGGAGGCTTAAAAATTATTTTTAAAATTTTCTTGAACATCAGAAAATAGTTATAATATTCAGAAATATCATAATTTGCATCCTTAAGATTATGAATCTAAAGAACGGGTATTTCAGAGCCGGAAAACTCGACCACTTGTTTTATTTTATTATGCTTGCCGCAAAAGCCAGAGAGCGATAGAGAGAGAGATGTATAAAAAGGCGAGAGGCGGCCGAGAGAACTTTTTCGCGGGGGCCTTTTGTATTTGTATCTGTATCTTTCGGTTCGGTTCAGGCATATCTTACGGATTCAGTTTGCTTGCGACCGTTACAACAGCCAGTTGATTCAAAGCGGAGCGATTCGTGGATTCGTTGTCATCGTGTCGTCGTCGTTTTTGTCGTTGATTTCCGTTTGTGCATGCAGATAAAGCCAGGTCTTGACTAGATTCTCGTCTAGGCCTACAATCGAAACCGAAAACCGAACTCGGCTAATGGAAAATAAACAAACAAACAAGGCCCACATTTTGTTTGCCGCGCATTAAAAGTAATTCCCATTTGTAACACCCAGCAAAATGATTAGAAAATCTGTTTTCTGGGATATGTTGCATGACTGAATTAAATTACGTGTTAAATTGTTAAGCTAAATGAACAAACCGCATCCATAAAACGGATGCGAGTGCATGCAATTAATTAAAAATACGATCCCAAATCTCCCGACACATGCATGCGAAACCCATCAAGCTTTATTTAAATCAATGACTTGAGCGACTGAATAAAATATGTATTTCATGGCTATTAAGATTATAAACAAAATCTATCATTAAATCTAATATCAACTTTCATGGTTTATTAACTAATGATATGTTTAACTAATGAATCTTAAAACATAAGGCGAATTTGATTTGCAATGACTTATAATCAAGAAAAACCACAAGTTGAAGATATAAATTAAATGTGTAATCAAATAAATAAAACAATGAACTTTTGGGTCGAAAAGAAGCCCAGTAAATGACAAAATACAACATGTGTAATTAAATAAGTGAATTGCTAATAAATTGATACAACATCTAATTAAACTGGAATAAAATTGAACAAAAATTCGACTCAAGCTCGATCTTGGGAAACCATACAATATTACAAAAACCGCATGGCAGAACAACTTTCAATATTCAAAGCTAAAAAAAAGCTGTGGTTAATGTTTATTGTGATTTTTGTCGGTGACTAGCTTGCTTTTATCAATTACAATTTTGTGTTTCGGTTTTCTGTATTCCCCAACGAGTTGTTTACGATAAGGAAAGGCAGGCGACATAACACTTGAAGAAAATCAAAACTTGTTCTAGGAAACTGATAATGTGGGTAATTTGACGTCAGGGGACGTCGGTTGAGTTCCCTTCCAATTGTTATGTGAATAAAAATGGGATAGTGTGCAATAATCTGAATTAGAGGAAGCGCCCATCTTAAACTATATATATTTGAATTTGAAATAATTCCATAACTCAAATCTAGAGTTGAAAAAACTCAGGGCACATTCAAATGCGACAATTAAATTAATTAAGCTTAAACAACATCTAAGATTACTTGACACTTGCAACCGAAATAAATTTGATTTGTAAATTTCACATAAATCAAAGCGAAATAGCTGGCAATCCTTCCCTTCAACTGAATTAAACAATTACTCTTTGTTTCTCGGCTTTAAGCAATCAAAATCAACAAAATGCGTCAGCTGCGAGCTGAGCTTTAAAAGAAATACGAGCTGAGCAAACAGAATAAGATAAACACAGAAAGTCGAGTACAGTCATTGCTCCAATTTTGTAACCTACGAATATTTTTTGGGGATTTTTTAACCAAAAGTAAGGCGCAAATCTTATGAAATAGATTAGATAGATATAGATTTTTGTAGATAGGGAGCAGGGTTTTTATCCTATTCTGTTTAAAATAAGTAAAAACATGAGTTATAAGTTGAAAATAATAATTTCTCTAACTTATGGGTTAACTTAACTTAAGACCCTTTAAGACAATTAAAAGATACTTTAAGATTTAAAAATTAATAGGGATGATAGGATCTTAAACTTCATAAAGGCATAAGAACAACTAAAAGTAATAATTTCTTATCTTAAAAAAATTCCTACATACTCTCATAAAATTTCAAAACCAAAAAAGGAATCGGAATAAATATAGATATTTATTTAAATGTTCTTTTTTTCGCCAATCCTAAATTATATGTTTTAAGGATGGTTCTGGATGGTTTCCCTTTTCCAGAGCTCACTGTAAATCGAGGCGAACAAAGCAAGCTATAAAGACGCTCGTTGGGCGACTCAGTCTGCTGGCTATATGCGACTATATGGCTATATAGGCCTATTGTCTGGGGAAACTGCATGGAACTGCACATCGGAAATGATTATGGGTTGGGGGGAAGAGGGCCAGCATAGCATAGCGAAAGGGGGGAGCGTGATAAAAGTGATACAAAAGGGGTGGCAGAAGAGGGGCCAAGAGAGTGGTACGTCATTAACTGACTCAGCCGCATGTTGCATCCAATCCAAGCTTTTTTTATTCCTTCTTATTTTTTCAAGTCCTGCAGAGCAGAGAGAGATAGTAAAACCCAGAGAGAGAGAGAGAGCGCTCCAGAGAGCGAGAGCTTCAGCGCAGGTGCGGCGAAATTCACTGAGCTCGCCTTAAACTTTCCGCAGCCGCTCCTTCACCGTTAGTTGAAAAAAATTCCTTGTTCGAAGCGGACGGATTGTCGAATTTCGTGGATATTTTGCGAGCGTTCCCGTGTAATTTTCGTCACGCGTCGTTTATTTGCAAAAGTGTGAGTGTGTGTGTGTTACGTACTATTGTGTGTGTGTGTAAGTGACTCAACTTCAAGACATTTTCGTTGTCTTTTTTCGAGGGACGCTTCTTTACCTATTTCTTTTTTTTTGTTCTTTTACACATTTTCGCATATTCTTTTGCGGCGAATTCAATGACGTCGCAGAAATTTGTTGTTGTGTCGTGAATTTATGTTTATGTATGCGTGTGCATGTGTTTTTGTTCAAGCAAATCGATTTAATTTATGAAAAATTAATACAAAAACCGGCACAGAACTATAAAGAAACTATGCGAACGGGCCGAGACTCAAATGTTTTTAATTAAAGGCCGTGTGTGAATTTTATCAAACCGCAACGGCAACAAAAACAATATTTTATCACCATTTTGAGAGCGGCACGCACGTGTGTGAGTGTATCTGTGTGCTTGTGTGCGTGTGCTGGCGTGTGTGTATGTGTCGAAAAAGCCGGCAATGGCAAAAGAGAATTCAGAATTCAGCATTGAAAAGGCAAGAAGCAAGAGGCAAAAGCGAATGCCAAATAACGAAAGTAAAAGCATAAAGCCAAAAACAAAGAAATTGGGTAAAAAAGAAGAGCAGGGAAAACGACGAAAATAATGCTGTAATAAAAACAAATTCTTGGGAATTGGAAAATCGGTTGGGAAAACAGAAAATGCAATTTAAAATAGTTATTTTAAAAGCTTAATTTTTATCACAGTGACCAAAACAAACGCTAAAAACAATAAAAAAAAAGTTTGATAATGATAAATGAATAATTCAAAAAAACAATATGACATTCCAAAACATATTTAGGAAATTAATCATGATTAGTGTATTATTTATAATTAAACTAAAACTTTTAACGTTCTAACAAATTCTAATAAAACATATATTTTTCTTCTAGAAAATCTAAAACCTTGCCAGCAAAACTTGGTGTTATAAAAATGAGTATTACCTAAAAAAAAAACAAAAATATATCAGTGCGGTTATTAAATACAAAATCGTTAACAAAGCAGTTGAAGAAAGTCAACTAGAAAGTGCAAGAAAAATTGTAACAAAACCAGGCGAAAACAAAAGTATTTGGTGCTAGCGCATTAAAGTGATTTTCTCAGCGTGTGTTTCTTGGGATAAGCGAAAAGCCAGCAAAATTTACTGCTTTGGAAACTCCGCTCTCAACATAAAAACCAGCACCATCACCGATACCGTTACCGAAACGGGCAGCACCATCAACATCAACACCCCCAGCGGCACCACCCACCTCCAGATTCAGCACCACCAGGCTCAGCACCACCCCCAAAACAGTGCGAGAATGCTGTTCGAGAATCCGGCGGTTGCGGCCAAGTTGCCCTTTCCGTACAACGTGCCCCCGCCTCTGCAGGCGGCGGCGGCAGCAGCGGCGGCTGTCCCAAATCTAAGGTGAGTTTTCCATTTTCCTCAGGCACTCGGAAAAATGTACATATACCAAATACAAAAGACATTATAGAAGCAAGTTTTAAAAGCCCTAAGATTTCTAAAAAGAATGGGTCCTATTTATCCTAAACCTTATAAAAACAGTTCTATTAGAAATAACACAAATATTCCCGGGAATTTATTTGGTTCTTAGGAAGGAAAAATACTTTCCTCTGAGGTTTATATCAGATTATAAAGATTTTATTTCCTACGTTTTTGAACAAATTTATAGACAAAAATCTAAAAGTTAAGGAACCGTTTCATATCCTATGTACACCTTATAAAAAGAGTGTTATTAAAAAAAAAGGATCGGAATTTTTTTGGTTCCTAGGTTGCTGTAGTTGTAGGTTTATAAGAACACACATTTTTTAAATTCCTATATAATTGAAAAAAAATTTTTTAGAAAATGTAAATTAAGGAACCCTTCCAGTTAACCTCATTTTTGAAAGAATTTAAAATCAATATTATTTTTTTAAGTGCACTTTACAACCCACCACCCCCTTCAAAAAACTAAGAACTCTGCGCGTCTCAAGGCCATAAAAGGCGTTAATGCGCTTTGAGGTTTTTACTCTCTTTATTTTTTTCCTCACAGCTTTCGCCCAACTTTTGCCTCAGTGGCATATTTATGAAAATTGTTTTGCTCTTTGCCTGTTTTTAAATTTTTCATCAGGCACTCAGCCTCAGTTTTGAGTCGCGGGCAAATTTTTCAACCTATAATTTTCCTAAGTTGCTGTCCGTAAATTGCATTCATTTGTTATATGAGAGAGGGCGATGTTTAATATTCATTTAAGTGGCATGGTCAAGAAACCGTGGGAACAGTGGTTTTATATGCACCTGAAGGGATTTTCTGAATTTACAGGAAATTTAAAATTATTATAGCATTTTAAGATATAGCTTATTTTCTTAAAACATTATTCAATGCTTATCCGTTTTATTACTATCCTTTTGTCAAAGACCTTTATAATTAATTAATGAATTGTCCTACAGCCTAAAGTGTTTATAATATTTTTCCATTATGAGTCATGGTCAAGTTTTGTAAATTTATAATTTTTTCGTAATTTTCCTGAGGTTGGTAATAAATGATTGTGGCTTCGGTGGGATTATTAATGCCCTGCTTTTGCCTTAAGTGACGTTTTTAATGAACCATTTCGTGCCACAAAAGTGAGAGTAAACAGTATTAAGGGAACCTTTGTGCCAGAAGCGAAATATTCCGGCCATCAAAAAAAAAAACAACATTCAAGTTCGTCAACGTCAGGGGACTTGCTTTACTTTTAATATTAAAAAACGATCGTCTGGCGCCAGGCAATTAAGATTTTAAAGTTTTTGTTTTTCGCTTCCCCAGTGCTTGCCTTACCAATTAGCATTTTATTTATTATATCATAATTTTTTCTTTGGCATGTGCCAAACATTTTTTTGCTCTGGGAAACTACAAAAAAATTTGAGAGACATGTGGGGCTTATAAATAATATATACCAATTGATTCAGACTGAAATGGTATTAATGAAAAGTTCTGCGTTGTCTGGATTTTTATTAGTTTTTCTAGAAATCCATCAAAAATTCGTCTTTACATAAGCCAAATATAAGAAAATTTAAAAATATTGTACATTTTTCAAGATCCAATTACTTGCCAGAACAACTAGCTATTTTTATCTGCCAAACACGCCAAAATAGATTATGAATTTTAAAATTATCCTCATGACACTTGACAGAGAACAAAAACTAGAGCCAAAAATCGAAGGGAAAAACCAGAACGCCAGAACCAGCGAAATCGCTCATCGATGGCCAGGGCATAGACAAAGCGTTGATTGGATTTAAAGTGACAGTAATAAATGACAACAAAGGCAAGTTTCATTTATAAATACTTGTACAAAAAAAAGAAGACTATGTTTTTAGGAAAAAATAGAGAACTTGGCTGGCTGACTGACTGAACTTGCACCAGATGAAATTGAGGGAGACGAGAAGCCAAAGAACGTGCTAAATAAACAGACATCGTCGCCACATTTTCGGTTTGACACACTGACAGGAAAAACAAATGGCAGCGGACCCGGGAAAACTAGAACTAGAGTTCCTCCACATTTAACTTATTCCCCATTTTGCTTTTTCACCGAGCAGGCAAATAGTTTTCCCATACTTGGGGCCACTGTAATATGAGGCATTGAAAAATATACAAATTCTTGGCTCTCGTCTTCTCGTTCTTGTGGTTTAATTGTGCGTTGGTTTAACTGCATTAGTGCAAGCGCAATTAGCCAAATTGTTAACTTAATTATTTTGGGTTCTTACGCATAGTTTGCTACACAAATGGCTGTGAATTATAGACAGCTAAGGGTCTGACAGTGGGATAGATAACTAGAAAAGTGTTTTAATATCAAAAAGCAAAGTTGTAATAATAATAATATTTATATACAATATTTTTTGTTTCGTACATATATTTTTTTTTCTTTTTTTTTTTTTAAAACCTGTCAATCAATCAGAAATGACAATTTAATACTTTCAGATCGCTCTGTCCGTTGACATTGAAGTTAAGCCACGCTCAAGTTCCGCCTTAATTAGTCAAACCCCCAAGTCGATCATTTCATTTGCTTTTTATTAAACAGACAGTCTGGTAAATAAGAATCAGACAGCAATTATATATATTTTATTTGCTGCACTGCTTGCATATTAATCGAGGCGAACCCGTCGAATCCCCTTGCAATTTGTATCTTTATCTCGAAATAAGCTGGCATACGTGGTCGGCAGGTGACTTGCTCAACCTTCCTTCTTCCCACTCAATAGAACTGAGTTAAGTGCTCAGCTGAGGTATCACACTTAATGCCACACTCTTTTCTTTTCGGTGTGTAAAGGTATAATGCCACATGAATTTGAAATTAAAAATCCCAATCTTTCGAGGCAGGCAGGTGAGCATTATTTCCCATATCCCCCACACCTTTCACGCTTTCTTCCCTCAATTTCGCAGCATTATTAAGATGTTGCCTAAAAGACACTTTTCCTCACATATTTATTGTATTTTCTTTTTTTGGTTTGCGCATTTGAAATACATTTTTCTTTTCTGGTTTCGTTTTATTACGTACGCTCGCACTTTTGCCAAGTTTTTACACTGCCGCCGAGTGATTATTCATAAGACTTCGCCGAGAGATTTGTGTCGGGGCGTTTGACTGACAGCTACAACGGCTGTTCTTATTAAGGTAGCACCACCACCAACCACCACAGCGCCGAAAACAGCACCACCATTGACGATAGTGGCACACCACCCACATGAGAGATTTATTTAACTGCGTATCCGAACCCCAATCTCTGGATACTTACTTAAGCTGATTAAATCTGGCGGGTTTCTTGGGCTGGGAGTTTTCCAATCTGAGTTCTTTTCTCGGTTTTTGGGGATATTATTTGTCTTTTTAATGGCCTTGAGAGGTATGATTTACTTAGGGAATGTTGGCCATGAACTTTGAAAACTACTTGGGGATATACTAAAATCCTTAAGAGTACTCAAATTTCTTATTCCAAGCAAACTATCTTTTCATCCATGAATCCAAAAATAATCTTTTATATTATATTTCTTAATTCCCAAAAGAAACAAGTTTTATTTTCAATAAAAGTGTATGTATCTTTCTGTATATCATCAAAACCTATCTATAAATTCCCCATTAGCTTGGATAAAGTTTTGTGCTAATTTCTAATTTTTCCCGGGTTTCTCCGAATTTATACAACAAACTCATTATCCGACCATCGTAATGTATCTACCCACACGCACTGCGTTGGCAGTTATAACTGTAAGTCTCGATTCAATTGTTCTCACATGTTCGCCTTTTGAATGGCCGCAACAAATTGACCAGCCAGAAAATGGACAAATGGTCAACTCATCTCTCATTTAGATTGAGCATGACAAGCCGAAATGAAAATAAGAAAACATGGACGGCAAAAAATGTGCGGGTAAAAGTTGCCTGGGTAAAAAGCAGCTTAAAGTTCCTTGACTTCTATGCCATATATATATTCATTTAGAGTTATATGCAGAGAAAAGAAAAGAATAAAATAAAAAAATAATTTTATGAATGCTATAATTATAGAACTATTAAAAAAAAGTTGTTTAATACTTGTAGGTTTATCATCATAACATTTTTTTTATCAGGTTAGAAATAAATCTTAGAATTTTAAAATGGTTTTGAAGCTATCTTTTGACATTGACTGTTATGATTTTCTCTAAGTGGTGCGAAAAAAGTTGACCCCGATTTTGATTTTAAATACTTGATTAAAAAGTTAAAGTGAGGTTGAAACGTAAAATTGTTAGACAAAGTTGATTTTGACTAAATTGCATTATATGCAACTTGAAATATGTAGATGTATTTGGCAGCAGCTGTGATTCCACATAAAATTGCAGATAAATACTGCTGAGTGAATGAATGAATGCACTTATGATTTTTTCTAGTTCGCTTTTTTTGTGCAGTAGATAAAATTGTAAAAGTTGCCAAGTCTGCTTTTACTGTCAAGCTGCCTCCGTTGAATTTTCCTCTATGCAGTCGGCAACTTTTAAGCATTTTTTACACCCCTCCGACATCCGAGTTTTCCACGATGTGGGCGTATTTCAATTATTTGCACGAATTGCAAAACCGAAGGATGGGAAAACGGGGGCTTGGGTTCAAACTGCGTGTGTTTTTGCGAATTAATTGAAATGCCATCATCGCACTACTCCGAAGTTGAAAGCTTTCGAACCAAATAACGCGCAAATATTTTGCCCAAGATTACAGATTCAGATACATATGCATAGATAGTGTGTGTTTTGGGTAGCTTTTCCATTAGAATTTTAAGCCGCATAACGATATACTGTTTGTTTTCGCTATCAACATTTTAATATCTAATGAGTTGCATGTGATTTGATGGCTGAATTTCATTTTCGCAGCACAGTGAACACATAGAATAACTGAACCTTAGTGTTTTTATTCCCCAATATATTTTTCAAACTGCAAATTTCACGA